AGTATTGTATGTATGAACTCCCTACTGTCTAATTAATGGAATTATGTCTTTTTCTTGATCATGGGTGAGTTGGGTAGAAAGTATCTAACAGGCTTGCTCGACCGGGTTCACTCGGTTGAGCACCGGTCATACTTCCCGAGGTTGGGGTGTGACACGGATGCCTTGAGCAGAAATGTCGAGAGCATGTGTATTTTGGCATTCATTCCAGTAGAAGAGAGGCCATTGCCTTTGGACATTCAGTCCTTAGCTAACCAACTTGTAAGATTGGATATTACATAGCTCAGTCGAGTTCTTGCATGTGTTGTGGATCACTCTTCTTTATTCAAGCAAATTAAGGCTTGTCAGTATGATAATCCGCACTTGTTGGTTATTAGAGAGACGGTATTGCAAGGTGATGCCAAGGAGGTGACTATCGAAGATGATGGTGCTCTACGACTCCATGGTCCCTTATGTATTCCTAAAGTTGATGGCCTGAGGGATTTGATTCTAGAGAAGGCACACAACTTGAATTATTCCATTCATCCAAGTGCCATGAAGATGTATCGTGACCTGAGGATGCATTACTGGTGACGACGGATGAAGAAGGACATAGTTGAGTATGTTTCAAGATGTTAAATAATCAGTAAGTTAAGTACGAGCGCTAGAGGTCGTTGGCTTACTTTAGTAGATGGTTATACCAGAGTGGAAATGAGAGAGCATCACTATGGATTTCGTGGTTGGTTTGCTACGGACATTAAGGAAATTCAATGTTATTTGTGTCATTATCGATAGACTAACTAAGTCTGCGCACTTTATTTCGGTAATGACTCCATATACTTCAGAGAGGTTGGCCAAGATTTGTATCTAGGAGATCGTCTAGTTAAATGACGTGCCTATTTCCATTATTTTAGATTGAAGCACTCAGTTTACTTAGCATTTCTAAAGAGTAGTAAGGAGTGAGTTTGGTACCTGGGTAGAGCTCAGCACGACCTTTCATCCGCAGACTGACGGGCAGTCGGAGCAGACAGTTCAGATTCTGGAGGATATGCCCAGAGCATGTGTGATTGACTTTTGAGGGTAGTGGGATTGATTCTTACCGTTGACCGATTTTTCTTATAATAACAGCTATTGGTCCAACATCTAGATGGATCCGTTAGATGCCTTGTATGGTCGACGATGTCGTTCCCCCATCGATTGATTTGAGCCCGACGAGGCTAGGTTATATGGTAATGATTTTTTGAAGGATTCCTTAGATAATGTAAAGTTGATTTAAGAATGGCTTCGCACAACATAGTCCAGTCAGAAGAAGTGCAAGGATCAAAAAGTGTGTGATTTGTCATTTATGGTAGGCGAGAAGGTACTTTTGAATGTCTCGCCGGTAAAGGGTATCGTGAGGTTTAGAAGGAGCGAAAAGTTGAGTTTGAGGTTAATCGCTTTGTTCGAGGTTTGGAGCAAGTTGGTGAGGTTATGTGCAGGCTTTCTTTGCCTCCTAACCTATTGGGAGTTCATCCGGTATTCCACGTGTCTATGCTCCGGAGGTACCATGTCGACATGTCCCATGTGTTGTATTATAGCATAATTTAAATGGATGAGAGCTTGAGTTACGAGGAGGAGCCAATTGCCAATATTGACAGGCAGGTTCGCAAGTTGAGGTCTAAGGAGATTTTAGCTGTGAAGGTTTAGTGGAGGGGTCATCCAGTCGAGGTGGCAACTTGGGAGACCAAAGAGGACATGCGGAGAAGATATCCACACTTATTCGGCACTTCAGGTATGATTCTAAACTCGTTCGAGGATGTATGTTTGTTTAAGAGGTGGAGAATGTAACGACCCAACCAGCTGTTTTGCTTTGTAGATCCTCGTTCCTCTATTTAAGACTTTCCATATATGATTTTCTATTTTATGACTTGTGTGGGTGGTTGTTTTAGTTTTGGAAGGGTTCAGGTTGAATTAAGAACACTTAGTTCCATAATAGTAGCCTAAGGTGGTCAAGTTTGACTTATGTCAACATTTTGAGTAAACGACCTCATAATCGAGATTTGAAGGCTCCAATAGGTTTGTATGGTGATTTTGGACTTGGGCGTATGTTCGGATCGAGCTTCGGGTGGACCGAGAGTATTTCGGTGTTTATTGTTGGAAGTTGGCATTTTGAAGGTTTTTGAGTTTTCTAGGTTTGACTTGAAGTGTACTTTGGTGATATCAGATCCCGTTTGGAATTTTAATCCTAGGGTAGGTTCGTTTTGTCATATTGGACTTGAAGTTTAGAAGTTGATTTATTTGGTTTGGGGTGCGATTCTTGGTTTTTATATTATTTATTTTGTTCTGAGGCCTCGCTTAGGTCCGAATTATGTTTATGGACTTGTTGGTATTATTGGACAGGGTCCTGAGTGGCTCAGGTGAGTTTCGAATCACCTAGAGCAAGGTTGAAATTGGCATATTTTGTTGATATCTGGTGTGCATCGTAATCACGAAGAAGGCCTCGTGATAGCGGAGTGTTGTGTGGAGCTGAGGAAGAGTTGTTCTTTGCAATCGCGTAGGAGGTATCGCAATCGGGGAGGGTGGTCTGTCAGTGCTTCCCATTCGCATGATTAAGGTCACGAACGCGATGAGTTAGTGGGTTCGGCGAAGGGAGGCAGTTGGTCTATGTGACTGCATATGGATTTTTGCGATCACGGAAGAGGAAATTCTAGGGGGCTGCAATGAAGCCTTCTTGTACGCGTTCGGTCGGTCGCATTCCCGGAAAGTCTATTATGGTAAGCCTTTTGCGTTCACAATGGACGTCGTCACATTCTCAAAAGAGAAACTTTGGGCAGAGGCATGTTTGTGATTCGCCATTGCAATGCTTTGGTCCGCGATCTCGAAGGGTAGTACCTCGTAGAATGCAAGTTTTAATACTGGACTTAGGCTCATTTCACCCTATTTTGTTTCTTGGCTTGGGCGATTTGGGAGCTTTTGAAAGTTGCATTTTCATCAAGTATCATAAGGTAAGAGATTCACACCTAGTGTGAGTTAAATACATAGATTATGTATGGAGTTTAACATGAAAATTATAGAATTTTGGGATTTTGTTGAAAAATCAAGAATTTGGTAAAACTGAGATTTGACCGTGAAGTTCATTATGGAATTAGGTATAAGTTATATATTTGAGTTCATAAGACCATGGGTAACATTTATCTTCGAAAATTTTCAGAATCCGGGCGCGTGGTCCCAGAGTTGACTTTTGTTGACTTTTCGAGTTGGGTTGGGAATTGAATCTAATAGTTGAATTATGAGTTTTGAGCATATACTAATTGGTTTGTACGTCCCTTGACTAGTTTCGAGTTGCTCGACATCGATTTGAGGTGATTAGTGAGTTATGGGAGTCGAGTAGTGGACTTGGAAGCGAGGTAAGTCTCTTTCCTAACCTTGTAAGAGGGAATCATCCTCGTAAGTATTTTATTTGTTATGTGCTACATGTTATGGGTGTTATGTATGTACGAGGTGACGAGCGTCCGTGCGTAAGCTAGATTTTTTTTATGTCTAGGTAGACTTAGACCTACATCATTCCTTAATTGTACTACTTGAATTAAACTTGCTTGGTGATTACTTAAAATTATAACTGAGATTTAGACTAGGATTTATGTATTGACCGAGCCTATTTACCTTGGGTTTTGGCGGGATATTTGATTGTCGGTAACAATTATGATTTTCTCTTGAATTCATATCGTGTTTTTGTTTATGTGATCGGTAATTCCGTGTTTTCTTGATCCCACACGTATCATCGCAGGTGGGAATCTAATCCTATAGGATCGAGTCGCATGCCTCGGCAGTGCTATAAAATAGCATTATGGATCGGGTCGTACAACTTCGATAGTATTATGAGATGCATCTATGGATCGGGTCATACGACCTTGGCAGTGTACACTATTCTTATGGATTGGGTTGTACGACCTTGGCAGAAGTTGTGCGTAATATTCGATAGGGTATCAGAGTGCACATGAGCTTTTCCTGACTCGAGATTTGACATTGTCTTGGTTATCCTTGTTTTGTTCGAGAAAGCATATGGTATTTGATGATTCCATAACTATTTTCATGTTGAAAATCATATTATTTACATTTATTAGTTTTGTTGCTACTTGTTGTGTTTCATACCTGTCTACTTTTATATACTTTGTTATTGGATCACTAGTAAGTGTCGATGTCGACCCAGTACAACAAAAAAAGGCCTTAGCGGCAATACAAAACGGCTATATCTTTTACCGGCCATTGGTGTTTAGCCGCTGAAGCCGGGGTCGGCAAAGCCTTTAGCGGCTTTTCTAACAAAAACTAGTAAAAGGTATGGTTTATTGTCGCTAAAAATTATTATCTTTCACGACAATTATAATGGCTGCTAAATCCAATCCAAAACGACTAATTATACTTTTTTAGCATCCATTTATATAGCTGCTAAATTCAAAATAATTGCCACTAAAAATTTGCATCTTTAACATCAATTGCTTGCGACAATTATAATGGCTGCTAAATTCAATCCAAAACAACTAATTATACTCCTTTAGTATCCGTTGTAAAAATGGCTATAGTATCCCTTCTAAAAATGTCTTAGTTTGCCCTTTTAGCATCCATTTTAATGGCTATTATATTTAACTGAATTACCGCTAAAAGTCAATATTTTTAATGATAATATTTTCCAACAATTATAATAGTTGCAATATCCTTTGTGAAAACATCTTAATTTGTCCTTTACTCGTCCAATTTTATAGCTGGTATATCCAGCTAAATTAGCGCTACAAGTCACAAGCGATAATAGCAATAGTTTAGCCACCATTAATAATAATTACTACATTCGTCCAAAATATGATCCAAATAATAAAATATTTAATATTAATTCAAAAAAACATAATATATCTCAATAAATCTTAACAAAAGGAAGTACTAACAAAATATATTAATGTCATAGTAACGAAAAAATAAACTTATATTGATTGAACTAAATAACTAATATCATTATATAATTAATCCAAACGAATAATGGTTTTCTAATGATTTTCGCATCTTTTCATCATTTTAAAATCTTCCACGGGCTAAATTATCGAAACACTAGACTGTATGACCTGAAATTGCAAAATAAATGTGTCAAAAGATGAAATATACACCCAATAAAAGGAAATTACTGAGACAGAAGCCAGCAAAGGCAAGCATTTGCTTGATTCAACATTGAAAGAGCTAACACCTCAGTTGCACAAGCTAATACATATACATAGGAAAATGTTTAGTAACACTCACAAGGCAACAACCAGATTTAACGAAGAGATAAACTGATGATGTCTTTGTAAGAGGAGTTTAATGAATTAGGAATGATTCAAAATAAACTTGAAACAGGTCATGAGATAAAGTGATGATATTTTGTGAGCCAGGAGTTTGATGAATTTGGAATGATTTAAGAACATTAAACTTGAAACAGGTCATCATAGTATATGAACATACTGTTTTAGATAGTAAATAGAAATGTTTAGCAATTTAAATTACAGAAGGTCTATTGTACACTCTAGAAAAGACAAGCATGGAAAATTCTCCTTCACTCTTATGTTCCAGTTGTATAGTATTTATTTTTATTCCAATAAAAGATACCCTCTGTCCGCCTTCACTCTTATGCATTAGTTCCTCACTTCATTCTTTGCATAACCATGGCAAAAAAGTATAGCATAGGTTTGTTAAGTGTCATGGATCTTCTTTGGTTCCACCAAATTAGTCTCTTTTCAGAACCCCCTTCAGTTTTATTTCCTATAAACCAATGTCAAACAACTTTAATTCCATTTGAAGAATTCTCATCAGTTGAATTAAAAACCACTCTTCTACAGGTAACAAATCCTCTCCTAGTTAGGTTAGTATTCTCTATATCCCCTAACATTTTAGTGTTTGCTTGTGCTATGTTTGGTTCACGAACAAAAGATAGAAGCAGCACTCAACCAAGAAAATAGTCCCTAGAAAGTCATGATTGTCATCAACAAGAAGATGAGTGTGTTGTGCAACAGAAGATTCTGATTTACAATCCATCTTTTAGTTCCATAGAAAGATCTGATTCTCGTAACTTTAACGGTGTTAAACCCACAAAAAGGTGAATTTGATTCAAGCAGGCAACTACTATCACAACCTTACAACATCAACAACAAGTGGGAAAAGGAAATATATAAAAGCAAGAAGTATCCAAGGTAAGTAAAAATACAATAATAAATTAAGAAAAATCGAAGGAGGAAAACTCAAACCAGTAGGGACGAAGGACAAAGATGAGTAGTACCGTGAGAATAACTTTTTCTTTATGTCAACACCGCGAGCAACACCTCATGTCTGAATATTTACATCATCGTCAAAAGCAAGAGAAGACACGCCATAGCCTTTATTCCTCTGCCACTTGAGAGCGAATAAAAAGGCTTGTAAATCTATTGATCTCTCACTGTCCTCCTTTTATGGCTTATGAAGATGCGTGGTCACCCATTTTTTAACTTTATAAAAGATGCAGTGCTGGTGCAAAGGTTCAAATGGTATCATAATATGACTAAAAGATGTTCTTTTCCTTTCATTGTAAAAAATGATTGTTCTTCTTTACAATCATTTTCTTATATATTCTGATAAGGAACAAATCAGTGATATTATCATCTTATAAAGAGGTTCTTCAGCAGCAAAACAATATCACTGATTTGTTCCCAAGTTCATCTTACAAGGATTCTATGATGTTTAACAGTAATTCTACTTCTTCTACCAACTCCTCTTTACACCAAAAGTGAAATAGAAGCAAGCAATTCATCTTAATATATTGTTGTTTGCTGTGTTCTTTCATGAAGTCCATTCATTCAAGAGCAATTAACACGAATAAGCATCACGGATATGCATTGTTAGCTAGAGATCATAATCCAAATTATTGGTAAGAACAAAAAGAATAAGACTACTAAGAGCTTTTATTGATTTAAGATATAACTTCATATTTTTCTGGTGGACAAATGTTATAAACTTCAGCACAAAGGAAGTGCTGCCAAATTTACAAAAACGCAAGACGGATCCAGTACATCCTTGATATTTTTAGGACTAATCTCTTGTTTTTGTTATAAACTTTTCGGGCATAGTTTTGTTTTAGTATAGATGATTGGGTGCATTTCTGTAAAGAACCATGTTCTGGTGTAGGTTGCCCACTTTTGTTTACCACTTGTATCATACTTAATAAATCTTTATGTTACCAAGAAAAATTAGGATGCATCTCCTAAAAGCTTGGGATAAGTGAGATTTAGAAAACCTCAAGTTTTAGGGAACTTCTAATTTGCCTGAAAAGACAACCTATTTACCAACATTGGAGTGTAATAAGCCCGAATACGGTGAAAGACTGAAATTGATGTAAAAGATTCGTATACTCGACCCAAAGTAATTTGGAATTAACACATAGTTGATTGACTGATTTAACTTAGTTACCAGACATAGTTTTCCTTGGTGTGTCTTCTAAGAACCCGAGAGATGACCTTTGTGATAGTAACTTTTCTCTTTTTTACTTTGCAATCAGAAGCTTGATTAAAATTGTCATATTCTGTTATCATTATTACTATCATCATCATCATTATTATCACTTTTGGTGGTGATGTTCTTATACTATCTAATAATACTAAATATTTTTCATGTCAGCCGTTGCAGTGTCCTGCATTTTCTAGAAATGCGGTGTCACATATTTGTGTTGTCTAACTCAACATCCATGATAAATTACTTTCCTACTTCTATTATGCATATTTTCAAGAATAAATAACAGTATTTACATCAGCATATGTAGTCTAACGAAATTCTACTTCATGTACTCCTAAATGAAAGTCAATCGTTCATCATTTCTAACGTGATGTACAACTAGGGCTCAGCTCAATGAAAGTAAAGCATGCTGCCTTCAGTAATATAAAAGATAAAGGATTCCATGCTGTAACACTAAGGAGGAGTAAGTGAATGGATCAAAAATAGCAGAAGAAGAGGCATTTAGCATGTATCCATTTAATATTTAAGCAAATAGATTTAAAATTGAACATTTCTTTTCTTAACAAGTAGCAAATCTTAAAAAACATTCTCCTAGCATATCAACTATTAAGTAACACTTTCGTTATTTAAATTGCAAAAGGCGAAACAAAAACTAACAGCATTTTTAAAACACATCCAAGTCACACAACAAATATATGTGGAAAAAAAATTAACATAGTCGAATCAATGGAGCATTAACACAATGAGATCTCGAAAGCTATCGAACTGAATAGTTCACATCCACCTAAAGCGACAATTCAAATAGAATTACTTTACACTTAAATTAACAAGATTTTCTTTATGTATAGTCTGCTATGAATAGCTTATAACAATCGACAATAAACATATAACATTAGGGAAAATAGAGGAATCAATTCAATCAGTTGCCCGCCAATTTAACAGCATTCAAAAATCACAAATCACAACATAGCAAACACAAAAAACATTCTCTCTACAAATCACAAACAGTCATAGTTGGACATCACAAATCAGAAATCGGCTTAGGCTCAAGTGTTTGGGTACCTGGTAAGAACAATACTTTGATGATAAAGATAAGAAAGTGAAGGAGAATGATGCCAGTAACAATCTCGAAACCTACATAAAAGAGGTTTCGATAACTTTGTTAAGCAACGGTAAAGAAAATTAGACATTTGACTGGTTTCCTCTTTGTATGCTTAAATCTTTACCTTATCAAAAAAAGATATCACGAGAAAAAAGTCAGACAAATATTTGTATCTTCGACTATTTATGTACCAGTTGCTTAGTGGAAGAAGGAAAACTTCAAACGATGAATTAATATTGGACGGTGTATCAGGTGGTTGTCATCCGTTGATCAAAAAGTGGTTGAGAAATTCAGCTTATGTTGGAAAGTCCCTACATATCTTAAGCTTGAATCCCTTTAAATATGTATACAAATTCGAATTTCAAGTCATTAAAATTTCCAGCAGCTCTGGCTTTTCGCTACAGAACATTTGTAAGTGTAATCCAATGTCAACCCGTTGGTGCTCATAGGTGAATAACCTAAAGATTTATTGTGTATGAAAGAGTTGAGAAGACGTGGCATGTCTTCGACGTTATTACTTGAGGAATCAAACAAAACTTAAGAGAAGATGAGGAGACAAAGGCTTCTACTGAGAAAAAGCATTGTCAACAAATTCCGAAAGAAATTTATTTAATCAAAAGGAACAGTAATAGTCTGCCACTAAATAGTGAAGGCTTTGAGGTCAGCAGGCTCCTCTTTCTTATATATTATGTCTTTGTATTTTTGAAAGTAAAATAGAGGAGAAGTCTATTTAGAAGTATGACTTGTCGAGAATGAAAGTAGGATTGTTCTATTTTGGGACAGGAGTTGCAGCAATAAGGATTCAAATACTTATAGTACACGAAGTTACCTTCATTTTCTTATTCATTAAAAAGTTTTATCTAGAAGAATTTGACATTGCAGCTCACCTTTGAGTTTGTACAGTATGCACGCTTGTTTTAATAGCCACCATGCTCGTGGCACAAGGATAATTCAAATTATAACTTGTTATCTTTTTCCATTTACTAACCATGTGGTGATACTTCTTTTTATCATGAATAAGAGTAGAGCAAAGGAGAAATTGCAGGAGGACCATGTGGTGATACTTACCATCTCATATTATCTCTTTTTTTCTAGACAATAGATTATATAAGACTATGTACTCAAATTTTACTCTGCTATTCTAATTTTTCATATTATATGTGATAACCACTTCACCAGTCTTGTAACCCAATGGTGGTGGCTAAAACAGTGCGATAATGAGTCTAATACGTTTTGTCTTGGCTTTAAGCTTTGATATTGTTTTACTGAATTAACTTCACGTATGTATATAAGCATTTATATGTCATGTATATCATTTTTAAGAGCAAGGTGGGGAGTTCTTGGAGGGAGGGAGCCGAGAGTCTATCGGAAACAACCTCTCTACCCTAGGGTAGGGGTAAGGTATGCGTACAAGCTACCCTCCCAAAACTCCACTAGTGAGATTATACTGGGTTGTTGTTGTTGTTGTATATCAGTATCAAATTCTAATAGTGGGGCATGCATACGCCCGTGCACAACACAGGCACACGCCATCTAGTTATTGTATAAGTGGAATTACTTTCATTTTACTTCCTTTGTTCAACAAGACTAATTAGATAACAATTAATTAAGTTGAATAATTTATTCAATTTAGATTAACCAGTAATAGATAATTAATTTGCATGCTCACTTAGAATAATCTAGTAATCAATGATGGCACTTAGTATCAAGATCCGGATAGGAACCAAAGTCGTGCACCTCGAAGAGTACTCAACACCTCCCTTTGAGGTTACTTGAACTCTTATCCAAACTTTGATGACACCTAAAGTTTTAGCAGGAATTATTTGTAAATAGGTTCCCTAATGCATCTTAAAAATTATTAAGTGGCGACTCATCTCTTTTAACCCATTTAAAAGAGTTGTAACATGTCGAAATCCGTTTTCACGAAAAAAAAATGGGGCGCGATATGCAGAGGGTCGCGATTGTGTAGGTGTGTCTTTTCGATTGCGTGGGTACTAGTCGTGATCACGATGGACATTTTTGCCTCCAAGGGTATTTAATGTTTAGATTTCGGGATTTAGCTCATTTTTACTACTTTTGAGGCCTAGCCATCGGGAGGAGGCGATGTTTGAGGAGATTTACACCACAAGCTTGAAGGTATATAATTCTTACTTGGTTTTTGTCACGACCCAAAATCCACTATAGGCCGTGATGGTGCCCAACGTCGCCGTTAGGCAAGCCAACACTTGATTATTCATTTTATTATTTTTAAAATCATGAATCTTATTTAGATAGAGAGGTTTGTGCGTTAAAATAAATCGTTGTTACGTATAATTTAATTAAAATAGTAAGTAAAAGCGTATCAATGTAGAATAATCCATAAACAAATTCTAGAGCACCCCCAAAACCCAGTGTCAGTAGTGCATGAGCATCTACGAGAATGTACAATAACAATACAACATCTGTCTCGATTACAAGCTAGACAGGTAAATGTAAATAATTCTGATGGAGACTCTGTATGCTGCGTATCGTACCATGGGATACAACTTATTGTAAAGTCCCCGCAATAGTCGCGCCTCTACGCCCAAAAGAAATATATACCTGCACAATAAGTGCAAAAGTGTAGCATGAGTATGTAAATTAACGCGTACCCAGTAAGCATCTAGCCTAACCCCGGAGAAGTAATGACGAGGGGTCGACATTGACACTTACTAGTGGTCCAATAAATCAAATACAGTAGAAAGTAAACAAGTATGAGGCATAGTAAATAAACAGTGTAAGCAAATATAAGTACGTGCTATGATCCTCCTCTGAACGGTAAACACTAGGTCTCAATTATCGAATACCTCCTGAACCGGGGTGTGTGTGTATATATATATATATATA